AGGAAATCCAAGAGAGATACAGGAAGAAGAAGGGCAGAGTCTGGACAGATGCCATCCAGCCACCCAAGGAGCAAGATGCCAGCAGACTGGTAATGGCATGGCTATGTGGCAATATATAGATTAATAGAAATGGATTAATTTAAGATGTAATAGCTAGCCAGCAATAAGCCTGAGTCATAGACTAAACAGTGTGTAATTAATATTAAGCCCCTGAGTGATTATTTTAATAAAAACGGCTGCTGCCCCAGTGGGACCAAGAAACTTCAGTCTACACAAGTTACCTTTTAAGTACCAAGAACTAGTTCGTATCTACAGCCCCAAATTTTCTGTCCGAACTCCAGACCTGACTAACCAAATACCTACATGCCAGCCCTACTGTGCTTAACAGAAATGGCAAATTTAGTGGAACCAAACACCAGACTCTCAATTTTCCTTCAACCAGAATCCTCATTCAGGCCTCTACAATTCAGTAAGTAATCTTTAGAACTGTCTTCAATCTCTCTTCTGTTAAACCATCTGTCCTAGTTTGTTTTCCTATTGTGATAAAGACCATGACCAAAAGGGAGGAAAAGGTGTATTTAACCTTACAGCTTATATTCCATTCTGAAGAGACATTAGAACTGAAGCAGAGGCTGTGGCTTGCTTCCTATGGCTTACTCAGTCTGCTTCCTTATACAACCCAATACTGCCTGCCTAGGAGTGGTACCACCAACAGTAGGCTGAGCCCTCTTGTGTCAATCATTTGTCAAGAAAATGTCCCAAAGACTTGCATACAGACTAGTTTGATGGATGCATTTTCTCAAATAAAGGTCCTTCTTCTCAGATGACTTTAGCCTATGTCAAATTGGGAAAAACAAAACAACCAGCACACCATCTGAGTGAAACCTTGTCAGCTTTATGATCAAATTAAATCCAGAATCTAATCACTTTAAACCAATGTCACTGCTACCACCCAGGCCTATGTTACATTCTACATCACCATTATTTCTCTAAGTAACTAATGCCTTATAAACTATCAACACAGAGACAAGACCCTTTTGAAATTTACTTCCAATTTGGTCAATACCCACTCTCCAACTTAATTATAAGTCAAAGTCAAAGTCCTTATAATGGCCTGCAAGTCCCTATATGATCTGTCCTTACCACTTATGACTGGGATCATATCTCCTAATACTATTCAACATCACTCTGCTCCAACCATACTGGCTTCCTTCAAATACTCAATAGACTCCTGAGTAAGACCTGTGCACTTACTCTTCCTTGGCTGCTCATCCACCACACTGAATGTGCCTCCATCATGCTATAAATTGAATGCTTGAGTCCTTCTAAAATTAGTATGTTGAAATCCAATCCCCACAGTGGTTAAGTACTAAGATCTAGTACATCTGACAATTGATAGGTTATAAAGGTGGAGCCCTTAAGAATGGAATTAATGCCTTATAACTTCTAATTTCCTTCAGAAACCTCTGCCTATCTGCTACTTTTCACTATTTGTGTCCCCATCCCCACTAAACTATTAAGCTAAATAAGGCTAAAGGTTTTATGCTTAAGATTTAGTAAACAAAAAAAAAAAAAAACTCTACTGAACGAACAACATTGGGTAGTCTTTCTACTGTTCTGTTCCCAACATCTACAAGTCAACAAAAGAATGTTTGGCTTTAACTTGAATATCACACATTAAACTTTAAACCGGTTGAGCTTATCTCTACCAACTATCTGGTCCCTAGAAAGTCTTCCATGAAAGCTAAGATTCAAAGTAAAGAATTTTCCAATCTACTTTTCTGTGTCAATAGAAAAGTTTCTTCTGACTTTCTTTTCTATTTCAATACAGCTAAACACAGATATACAGATTAAAATAATTTTCTGGATTCTTTTCAAATTTTACCAAATTTTCTCAATTTTCTACACATAGTTTTCCATCTTTCCTTACAAAGTTAAGGTCTTTAGTTGTTCATATTGACTAATTCACTGCAAATTAAATAGCATGAAATTGCAAACCACAACAGTGCACAGATATGGCTAGATTAGATAATCTAATCTTTTTTAAGTATGTGTATATGTGTATGAATTTGTATCTGTGAAGCCATAACAGGGTGTCAGATCCCCTACAACTGAATTATAGGCAGCTGTGTGCTGAAAAACACAGGTACTAGGAACTGAACTCCATTCCTCTGCAAGAACAGCAAGTGCTCTTAACTACTGAGCCATCTCTCCAGGCAACAGATAATCTAAAGTTGAAATCACTACTAAGTCTCTGTATTCTCTTTCTCTCTCTCCCTCTCTTGTTTTGTTTTGTTGTTGTTATCGTTGTTGTTGTTTTTGTTTTGTTTTTTTTTTTGTTTGTTTTTTGAGATAGGGTTTCTCTTGTAACAGCCCAGGCTGTCCAGGAACTCACTCTGTAGATCAGGCTGGCCTTGAACTCACAGAGATCCACCTGCCTTTGCCTCCTGAGTGCTGGGATTAAAGGCATGCACCACCACCATCAGCCTCTGTATTCTCTTAAAGAAGCTTAATTTCTATAAACAATTCAAAAGCATACTCAATATTTTCTTTATTGGTTATGGTCCTACTTTGCTTTCTGTTTCTGTGATAAAACACGAAAAAAAAAAAAATAAGAGAGAAAACAGTTTTTTTGGCTTACATTTCCAAGTCACAGTCCATCTTTGAAAGAAGTCAAGGCAGAGACTGAAGCAAAGCCATGCAGGCATGCTGCTTCCTGGCTTGCTCGCCTTGCATTTTATATAACTCAGGACCACACAGTGGGCTGGGCCCTCCCACATCAACCATTTGTCAAGAATATGCTCCCACAGACTTGCTTACAAACAAATCTGATCCAAGCATTTTCTCAATTGAGATTCCCTCTTCAAGATGACTCTAGCTTATGTCAAGCTGACAAAATACTAGCCAGCACAGTTATATATAAAACTTTCACTAGCTACAGAATTTAACCAATCTTTTTTTTTTTTTTTTTTTTGGTTTTTCGAGACAGGGTTTCTCTGTGTAGCTTTGCGCCTTTCCTGGAACTCACTTGGTAGCCCAGGCTGGCCTCGAACTCACAAAGATCCACCTGCCTCTGCCTCCCGAGTGCTGGGATTAAAGGCGTGCGCCACCACCGCCCGGCTAGAATTTAACCAATCTTAATGAATACTAAACAAGTATTCTCAATATTGAGTGAATCTTAAGATAGGTTAGTAGTTAAAGGTACCTGCTGCTAAGTTTGACTAAATTTAACCCCTGGGACCCTCATGGAAAGAGAACACCAACTCCCAAGAGCTGTCCTCTGACCTCATGTTTGCCGTCACATAACAAACAAACAAACAAACGAGTGAATGAATAAATGCAATAAAGAATATTCCTGGTATTGGAGAGACAGCTCAATGGTTAAGAGCACTAGCTACTCTCTCAAGGGCTCCAGGTTTGACTCCCTACAGCCACATGGCAGCTCACAACTGTCACAACAGCCTGAGCTAGACAGTGAGACCCTGTCTCAGAAACCCAAACCCAGCCAGGCAGTGGTGGCACATGCCTTTAATCCCAGCACTCCAAAGGCAGACACAGGTGGATCTCTAAGTTCCAGGGCAGCCAGGGCTACACAGAGAAACCCTGTCTCAAAAAACAAAAAAAAAACTGAACAAACAAACAACAAAACCAAACACAAATAAACCAAAAAGTTAGTCTTCATTTTCACTACTTACTGTTAATAAATACACTGCATTATCATTTACTTTGGAAATGAGGCATAGTTTTTCTCTATGAGCAGGAAGTGGCACCAGGTAACACTTTACAGTTACCACAAAACCATTTGTGTCTAAGAATTTGAGATGTGAAATATTTATTTACTTGTTTGGTTCGTTGGTTGGTTGGTTTTCGAGACAGGGTTTCTCTGTGTATCTTTAGCTGTCCTGGAACTCACTCTGTAGATCAGGCTGGCCTTGTAAACGCACAGAGATCCGCCGGCCTCTGCCTCCCAAGTGCTTGGATTAAATACATGAGCCACCACACCCAGCTGAGATGTGAAATATTTATATTATAACTCTTACAAAAATGAGAACTGTGAAGTTCAGTTCCATGGCAATTTTATACTCAATAATTTTATATACAATCATGGAATTAAAATGCAAGGACTGAAAGTTAAATTTCTACTTAATAGTTCAATTTAATTTCCTTTGAAAATTTACTATCTCATAACCTGTAGGAAGAGGTATATTTCCTAACTAATCCTGTTAAGCGTGTCTTTTTTTTTTTTAAGCTCCACAACTTATGTATTAGGTGAAGGACTTAATCAGATCTTGGGAAATTCTTTCATTCCATAATCATGAAGTTAGTGACATGTCTGCTTTTTCTGTTCACTGTTTCAGGTAGATCCTGGATAAATATCCTCACTCAGTCACAAGATACAAGCTAAAACCAGAACAGAAAGGAATAGAAAGGCAAAGACGTATACACCACTATCCCGGGCTCCTCTTCCAGCAGTACCCCAAACACTTCAAGCCCTGAAGGATTCACAGCTTCTCCTATGAGGAGAGGCCTCAAATTCTTCCATATTTCTAACTGTAAGACGAATACTAAGCAGCAGGCTATAACGATTACGAAATACAGTGCAAGAAAACTGCTAACACACGCTGGGCAAAAGGTATTCTTTCTTCCCAGAAAGGACGAGGGAGGCAGGCAGAAGAAGTAAAAATATGTTTAAGTGGGAAGATGACAATTTGGGGTGACACATAGTTACTGTGTCACACTTGAGACGGGGTAAGTGTAAAAACGGTCTACCCACACCTCTCTTCCTTCTTCCTTCAGCACAGCTTTTGGGGGTGGGGAAAGGATGGTTTCCAGAAAGAAAAGGTATCAGCACCCCCAGGCTGCTGGCACCGTCCGGGTCTGGCACTTAGACCACAAGTTCCGAAGTCGGCGCGAGGGTGAGGGACTGGGAACGGGCTGGCGGTCAAGAGGACCGGGCTGAACGACGAGGTCCGGCCCGCCGCGGCCCGCCGCGCGCTTACCTGCTGCACCCCGAGGAACTCGTAGAAGTTCAACTGCACCTCCTCCACCAAGTCGAACAACTCCAGGTCAGCGCTCTCCCAGGCGCGCACCGGCCCCACGGCCGCCAGCAGGCACAGCAGCAGCGGCGGCCACAGCGGCCGAACGGAGGACGCCAGCGGCCCAGGGCGCCGGCGCCGGGGAAGCCGCGCGGCTCCGAAGCCGGGAGCCCACATCGCACTGGGCTCCGAGAGGTCGCTGGCAGCCACGCCGTGCGCCGGCCGAGAGCGGGGACGTGGCGGGTGGCGCGGGCTGTGGGGACGGCGCCTGTCAGTCAGGAGCGCGGGCAGCCGCCCGGAAGCTGCTAGCCAGGCTGCCGGCCCGACGGGAGCACCAACAGACTCGGAGAGGACGACCAGGCCGAGGCTGCCCGAGCGGTGACCAGCCGCAGCCCGCTCTCCCTTCCCGGACCCTCGCCCTGGGCCTAGGAACAGCTGGAGAGCAAGCGCCGGCACCCGGGCTGCCGTGTGGGAGAGGCTTCCCCAGGCCTCAGCCTATCCCAGGCCTCGCTTCCGGTGACATCATGTCTCCTAGCAACTGTGGGGCGGGGCCGGGGCCGGAAGTAGGAACGCCGGGCGCTCTGGGTCTTTGCCTTGGAGAAGAGCCTTTCAGTGGCTGGCGCTGGGGTAACTGCACGTGTTTCTGCGCTAGCTGAGAGACGTGGACAATTATAGACCTCCAGGGCCCGAAACGCTTGCCTGTAGGTTTTCCTCCCGATGCTTCCATGTTGCCCTCCTAAATATTGACCATTAAAAGCACATTCCAGGATTGATGTATGGATTAGGCTTTCTGCTCCCGCGCATTTTATTATTCGATCAGTAAAGATAGGATGAATTGAGCCAGGTGGTGGTGGCACACGCCTTTAATCCCAGCACTCGGGAGGCAGAGGCAGGAGGATCTCTGTGAGTTCGAGGCCAGCTTGGTCTACAAAGTGAGTTCCAGGAAAGGCGCAAAACTACAGAGAAACCCTGTCTCGAAAAACCAAAAAAAAAAAAAAAAAAGAAGGATGAATTGAACCAACGACTGAAACACAGATCCACTCCAGTGTGTTTGAAGGGGAAAAAAAAATTAACCAAGAAAAAAATATACTTTAATTATGAATTAAGATTTGCGGGTATATGTCTGTAACTGCACTTCCAGGAGATCTGAAGCCCTCTTCTGGCCTTTGCAGGATCCTGCACACACATGATATACATAAATTCAAGCAAGCAAACGCATACATAGAAATAAAATTTAAATTGTTTTAATCTTAAGTTTATATATACCCTTTAAGTAAAACTAATCTTGGGACTAGAGTTGACTCAGTCACTAATACTACTTCTTGCTCTTGCAGAGGACCTGAGTTCAGTTCCCAGCACCCCTGTTGGGATGGCTTACAACCACTTGTGACTCCAGCTCCAGGAGTTACACACGTATTTATATATACACATAAAACTTAAGAAATAAATATTTTTTAAAAGATCCTCATCTTAGCCAAGTGGTGATGGTGCACGCCTTTAATCCCAGCACTCAGGAGGTAGGGGCAGGCGGATCTCTTGAGTTCGAGGCCTGCCAGGTCTACAGAGCAAGTTCTAGGACAGCCAGGGCTATACAGAGAAACCCTGTCTCAAATACCCCTACTCCCCCTCCAAAAAAGACCCTGATCTTTACCAAGTCCCTAAATTAAAGCTAGTGTTTGCTTATTCAGTGTGTGGAGTGTCAAAATAATATGGCAACAACAAAAAGTATTACCCGCCGGGCGGTGGTGGCGCACGCCTTTAATCCCAGCACTCGGGAGGCAGAGCCAGGCGGATCTCTGTGAGTTCAAGGCCAGCCTGGGCTACCAAGTGAGTTCCAGGAAAGGCGCAAAGCTACACAGAGAAACCCTGTCTCGAAAAAAAAAAAAGTATTACCCAGCATCCATCTTTTCTTTATTTGATCATCATATTATGTACAATATTATTTGAAAGTGGTGCAATCTTGCCACAACTGTAGCAGTATTATTCTGAGCTCTTAGCAGGCAGCCTAGCATTTCCCTCTTGAACTTTGTGTTGTCTAAGAACTCCAAGGACTTACTCAATATTACTTTCTAAGGCCAGGCTGACACAGAAGTAGAGTTGCCTATTCAGCATAGTGCTTTTCACAGACAGAGGCATTGATCTTGAAAATTCTTCCTGCCCAGTTTCAATAACACTTTCTTCTCTGAGATGATGTTCTTACTGCTTTACATCTCTGCAAAGACCGCCATTCAAATTTGGCATCTTTATGTTAACCATTTTGCTGCAAAGGGCAATGCAATTGAATAAATCTTTTGTTGATGTCTGGTCTAAGGGAGCAGCCAGTTATCAGCTGTTTTCTTCCATGGTGACATTTACTGATCCTAGGCATGAACTTGTTGGCTTTGGCCTAGGCAGAGGGTCTTCACATGGATAAAAAGAAACCAGTGGAATATTTATTAGAAATTATATGATGGACTAAGGGTACAGAGGAGCCCCAAACATATAGCCAGCAATCCCATAAGACACCTGCTAACTCCTGGATATTGCTTGAGGTTGAGGAACTGTGCTTAGAGTAACCAACTCATGTTCTACCTGTATGAGACTACAAGTCCATATACAGCTAACTACCTAGAAGGAGGAGCCTACCTCACATATGTGTGCATTATTCTTCACACTCAAGACCTTTACAATTACTTCTGAAGTTATGAGAAGTTGTATTCACATAAGGGCCAAGGAGGTAGATACTTTTCTGGTTCTTGATCAAAAGTTCAGAGGAATCATGAACAGAAAGAAACTGGAAGTTGACTGAGTCTTACTAACTCTGCAACCCAAGCACTACCTAGCTCATCTGTGACTGTGTGGAGGATAACAGACACTTCACCCTATTTGTCTAATTTCCATTTTAGTGGAAAATAGCATCTATGTTGTCTATGGGAATTTATGTAAAACTCTGGGATATATGGTTGATTTTAAGTGTAAGACATGACAAAAACAGGATGGTTTGGTCTATGATAAAGAGGAGGGAAAAAAGATAATAGAAAACCCACAGACAGGCCAGATGTTAAAGTTTAGATAAGAACTTTGAAATCACTATTACAAAATAAAATGGAAAAGGAAAGGTGGATAAAATATATAGGAAGGTACAGAATTTTAACAGAGTCAATGGGAAAATCTTGAAAAATATATGAAGTCAAGAACTCAGTAAATGAGTTAAACTGAAGACTAGATATAACAGAGCAGAGATTAGTAGGTTTGGGGAAGAAAATCAAGAAAAGAAAAAATACTCAAACTGAAGCAGGAAGAGGAAACAATGGAGGACTAACAACTTGAAAGCAGGTGTGCAATGAATGAATCCAGCATAAGTATAACAAACTCAAAACAATGAAGAGAGAGGAGAGGGCAGAAGTGGTATTTGAAGGGATAGTAGTCAGTTTTACAGAAGTAATAGCAGACATAAAGCTATAGATGCAAAAAAAAAACACTCAACATGAATCATAGACCTAATGTAAATGTTAAAAATTTAAAACTCTTGTAAGAAAAAATGGGAATAAATATTAGTGGCCTTTAGAGAACCACTAGATATGACACCAACTACATAAATGCCAAAAGAAAAGAAAAGATAGATTACACAAAAATGAACACTTTTATATTGCAAACAATATCTAAGATAATCCCTAATTGAATTCTAAATATTTGTCCTTAGACCAACAGATAACTGTAGTTCTTACCCCTCACCAAAGAAACTTCTCATCAAAGAGACCATTACAGAAACCCACAACGATCAAAATGCAGAGTTATAGAGCCCATTCCCAACAGATACATCTTCAACACAACTTCTGCACCTAAGGCTCAGGAGTCAGTGGGGAAGAGGGGACAGAAAGACTGTAAAAGGAAGTTTGCTGTGAGACTGTGTCCACTGGAAATGTCAGAAAGTACACTCATGAAGTCTCACTAACGCGGTTCCCTCAACATGACCTGAATAAGGATGGCACCAACAGAAAAGCTAATGCAGAAGGTGAAAGCTCACAAGGCCTCGACCCTAGAAAAACAACTACAGGCAACTAAGGACTCTGAGAGCAGGAGCAACAACAATGTCCATCAACTAATGAATGGATTTTTCTTAAATGTGGTAGGGCTAAATAATCATGTCAATATTATTCCCAATGGTATTATTTTTCATCAATAAAAAGCAGTGAAGTATGGATACTTGCTATAACACAGATGAACTTTGAAAATATACCTAGTGAAAAAGGCTAGTCACGAAAGAGCATATTATGTGATTCTGCTTAAGCAAAACATCCAGACTAGGCAAACTTCGAAGGTAGATTAGTGTTTTCTTAGGGCTGGTGGCAGGGGATGTTAGAGATTCACTACAAATGGGTGCTAGCTTTCTTTTATGGAGTAAACTTGAAATTAGATTGTGGTGACAGTTTCAGAACTTTGTCAATACACTGAACCTGTTGGCTTGTACTCTTTAAATGCATTGATTATATGGACAACAATTACATCTTGCTAAAACTGTTTCTAAAAAGAGGAAGAAAGGGGCGAGAGAGATGGGGAAGAATATGCACTGCCCTTGCGGAGGACCTGAGTTTGGTTCCTGTTGTACGATATTTTGTTTGTGTTCTGACAAATAAAGCTTGTCTGGAGATCAGAAGGTGGAACTAGCCTCTAGTTACCATAGAGACCAGACAGTGGTAGCACACACCTTTAATCCCAGCACTTGGAAGGATCATGCCTTTGATTCCAGCACATGGGAGACTCAAGTCTTTGATCCCAGCACATGGGAGGCTCAAGCCTTTGATCCCAGCACATGGGAGGCTCAAGCCTTTGATCCCAGCACTTGGAAGTCTCAAGCCTTTGATTCCAGCATGTGGGAGGCTCATGTCTTTAATCCCAGCACTAGGGAGGTGGAGACAGGAATATAAGGCAGGTGGAGACAGGATCTCGAGCCCCCATTTGGTCTCAGGATTCATAGAGGTAAGAACTCACAAGTGGCTGCTGCTCTGCCTCTCTGATCTTTCAGACAAGCTTTATTTGTCATAACACAAACAAAATATCATACAACGGTTTCCCAGCACCCATGTTAGGTAGCTCACTGTAACATGGATTGGCATGAGTCTTTTTAAACCTCAAATCCCACCCTGAGTGATACACCTCCTTCAACAAGGCCACCCCTCCTAATCCTTCCCAAACAGTCCCACCAACGGAGGAACAGGTGTTCAAACAAATGAGCCTAAGGAGGCCATTCTCATCCAACCCACCACACTCAAAACCACCTGTAACTCTGGTTTCCATGTATACTTGTACTCAAATGCATATCACACACACACATAATTAAAAGGTCCCCCACACACACATACATAATTAAAAATAAAATAAATCTTTTTTTAAAAGAAGGGGGAAGAACACAGATAAAGCAAACTCAACAACCTCAAGAAGAGTAAATTCGATAAAACAAACTCAATTGGAGTTAAAGTACAGAATAACTTGTGGGGTGTAGTGAAGGCAA